CCTTCTGAGGAGAGCGACCCTTTGGGTAATCTGGAAAGCAAGGTGCAAGGGTACCTTGGCTAGTCAAAATACCATCGTAGATGAGAAGTGGACTGAAACCAAAACCATAATTCAAACAGAGATAAGAGCCCAGTGGAACAGAGAACAAAAAGCGCAACAAAAAATCTCGCAACCAGAAAAGAGAGAAACGAGCCAGAGAAACTTTGAAAGAATCTGGCTCGGCAAGAATAGATTTGCGGAAATCGATAAGGGCATCATCCACTTCAAGAACTGGGACCTACCTGCTGAATAAATAGTCTGTGAATAAGAAGGCGTTGGTTTCACGCAATAGAGGGACATTTTCAAACACAGTCACAACACGCTAGAAAACTGCACGGAAACCAGAGTTCTGCAAGTAACCCCATGCTCACGTCTGAGCCAAGATAGCCACCGCCCCATACCCTCTCCATCCTAATCACATCTTCTTTCCTTTCCCTGTCATATCTCCTCCAATTTCTCCCCTTGTCTAACAGCCCTATCCAGTTTCAGAAGGCAGTGGAAGGCGCGCGCTCTGATTAGAAGAGGGAGAACATGGGACATCTGGAAGGCAAAAAAGGGAAAGGTAAGGCTATGGTCCATCTGGAAGGAAAGGTGCTGCAGAACTTTTGAAGGTTGTGCACCCCCAAGGGAGAAGTTACGGGAGGAGGCAAGAACTTCAAGTCAAGCAGAGATCCTTGGTATATGGTACAAAACAAGAAAGCCCATGCTTGACGATGAAGAACAGGAGAGGATAATTGAAAGAAAATTCTTCACAGAATGGATGGTAGGAGGCAAGGTGGCAACACCGACTGACTTCCATATATGATGGAAAGACCGGCTGAATTCTGATACGGGGTGGAAAACACAAGTGCTCCAGGTACCAAATGAACAAGTCCCACTGCATGCCATATGAGCTGACGGGCTAAGATGGTTCAGAGGATCCCATGCAAAATTCAAAAGGAGGGTTTAGGGCTTAGGGTTTTGGGACCGCTTTGTAAATAGATTTAAGGAGAGGCAAGACGGTTTTAAGGCATACGGGCAGGTTTTCAAGAAGAGGTTACAAGGGTCAGCTTGAGTAGCTGCTCAACTCTTTCTAGTTTTTCACGATATATCTGGCAGGTTAGCTAACAAACCTGAGAGGAAAGAGAAAAGCAAGGCAAGCTGACAGTCAATCCTCCACTACGTTGGAGTAATCAATGTTGTTCAGGGGTCCTTTGGCCAGACGAAAGGAAGCGTGAGTGCGTTATTGTTGTAATGCTTATTCAGACTTGCCGGTGGAATAGGAACTGAACTGACGCTCCCCAAAATGGAAAAGGAGCCAGGATTGTAAGGTCCTGTTTTTTTAAAAAAAAAAAGAAAAAAAACAAGCGAATAAACACCGCAGACCTTCACAGTTCGCTGCAGGGGATTTGGTCGGGGTAAAGTCTAAAGAGTTTCTCCCAGAAGAGGATATCTCGGAGAAGTTATTACCTGCGTATAGGGGACTATGGCAGATTGTCGATGTGTTTGGTGATGTGGATGGTCCTTCCTACTTTGTTGAGATTCCTCCCCATTTGCACACTTATCCGGTGTTTCATGCCTCTAAGTTGCTCCCTTGTGTCAAGAATGAGCTATTTCCGTCTCGAAGATCTATGATTCCCCCTGATATGGATGGCAAATATGGCGTGGACCGTATCCTTGCAGAGGATGTTTATAGATCAGGACACACTGACACAGGGGTAGGCCCCAACGACAATATATAAAGTGAGATTTGCTTATCAAGAGCCTTCGGAAGATCGCTGGTTTACTAGAGATGAGCTGGTTGAGATAGAGCACCGCGCATAGTGTCTTACTATGAGAGAGCTACAAGAGGAATCAACATAGTTGATCGATAAAGATTGTAACTTTCGAGGAGGACCTCGGCCTAATCCTCCTCGAAATTAGGCCGGCGAGAGTGAAAGGCATTCCATGATGCAGACCCCAAATTCGAATCTCAGGGTCAAGGTCTCAGGCAAAGGGAGGTCAAGTCGGCCAGTTCAGAAAGGTCACAGTCGGGTACCTTAGGAGTCAAGTCCAACAACACCCGGTGAACAATCACATCCCAGAGGCAAAGGTTGCACTCTCTAAGCAAAAGTCACATCTTATATTGAAAAGTCATATCCCACAGGCAGAGGACACTTCTCTAGGCAATCCCAGAGGCAAGAGTCACATCCCACAGTCAAAAGTCATGTTCCACAGGTGAAAAGTCATGACTCACAGACCCAAGCAGCACACCAATGAAAATTCGGAAAGTACCAGGCCTTGAGATTCTGAAGCAAGCAGGCCGTGGGCATGTGGTTCTGGGTCCAAGTCAAGCCAAAGGAAGCAGAGGCTGGGACGAGTTGAGGCTCAGTCCAAGTCAATATATGTACTGGCCAGCCGCATTTCACGGGAGATTGCTCATTCGTGAGAAGTGTGGAAGTGTTGCTGAAGTGCTTGTGTGCTATTTGCGAGTAGCATGCGCAAGAGCCCTGTTGGGCAGTGCTGCGTTAGGGAAGGAAGGCAGCCATAGCTGTGACGGGCGTGAGGCTGAGGGAGAGCCGAGGGAGAGGAGAGAGAGAGAGGGAGAGAGTGAGAGCACACACACACTCACTCACTCGACATGACTGAGGGTCGGACGCAGACACAGTGGCAAGGCACAAAGTTGAAGTCTTGGATTTCGAATGCCGAAACAAGTCACATTAAGTACGAGTACAACAACAGAAAACTGGTACGAGACTGGTCCCCGTACCGTACGGGGGGCATTTTTGCAAAGTCCCTGAGGGCAGAACTGAAAGAATGCGGTGTTTGAAAGTGGCACCCAAATTGCAGCATGGCGCCAGTTGTCCAAAATCCTACCGTACCAAAGGAGGGACTTGGAAAAAGGGTGCCAGGCCGAAAACGGAATGCAGCCGAAACAGCAAAAAGATAGACCAAGGATCGAGCCCTGGCGGAGTCCGTAACACTGTCCCCTCCCTCTAGAAGGCAACGTCCCGGCTGCCAAAAATCATGAAGCAATGCTGAAATCTGTGAAGGACGGGACGGGGCCGATCTTTGGTTAACAAGTCGAAAGGGAAGAGGGGTATAATGTGGGTGGCATGGGCTGCGGGACTAAGAGGGAACAGGGTTTGGTACCGGTGAACAAAGTTGTCCTACTGATGAACTAGGGGGGGTTGCAGGGAACAGGGTAGTCCTACAAATGAACTAAGGGACGGCAGGGAGCAGGGTAGTCCTACTGATGAACTAAGGGGACTGCATGGTTTGCTATAGGTTAAGGGGGAACAAAGTTCAGGGAACAGGGAACTTATATTGATGTTCTACTGGGTAAGGGAAACGGTGTTCATGAAAACATGGTATTTCTATTGATGTTGTAGTGGGTAAGGGAAACAATGGTCAGGGGGACATGGGATGTCTATTGATGTTCTAGTGGGTACGGGGAACAATGGTTAGGGAAACAGGGATCTGCTAATGATGTTCTACAGGGTTGTCAAAGTCAGGAAAAATAAAAATGAAAAATGTTTGTTCAGGATGCAAGGGCTGGTGTGTCCGAAGGAGTCGGAAGCAGAATCTCATGTAGGAACAAAGTGTCCAAGTGTCTTGAAAGGGGGTCTGCAGCGGTCTTGATCAGGTCTTTGGAGTAGGTGGTAGAAGCGGTCTTCAGCGGCTGCGATAGGTAGAAGTCCAAGAAGCGTAGTAGTAGTTCAAGTGTTGAAGTCCAAGTGCTAGGGTGCGTTCGGTACACGAACTGCAATGAGGTCTGATTTGGAAGCAAGGAAGTCGTAGACTGATGCAAAGATCCATGTCACAAGTTGTTGCTCCAGTAAGTCCGCGAGTCGGGATGCCGACCGATGAAACAGCATGGTGGCCAAACCAGCTGCATAATCTTCATGAACAGTGAGGCAGCAGGCCATCGTCCTCGTGCGCTTGCCATTAGATCCTTTATCGTCGGCGTCATGCAGGTTTACAAGCATTGGACAAGAGAGACAAGGTAGTGGAGAGGACAAATGGGACAAGGCTAGGCGAGGGCAAGGGTAGATCAGACATTAGGTATGAAGGTCAAGGGGAGGGTGGACTGGGTTCAAGGGTGTGTGTAGAGCGGGGTTGCAAGGTTGCAGCAGGGTTTATGCCATAGTTATATAGGTACCTAGGACATAGGATTAACACGATCATAAGCGCGAACAAGTTTCATGGCCGTCTTAAGATTAGAGAGAGGTTCCCATGTAGATTCTTCGTCGGGGTATCCGGTTCAGTTTACTATTCAGCGATTGGATCCGGTTGATCAGATACCTGAGTGGTTCGTCGGCCGATGATGGTTTCGACAGCGAATTCAGGGCCTGTGGGTAGCATGATTGGTGGAGGTATAGGATATGGGCGGTCGGCGAACTGGGTCGGGGATTCATGGTATTCTTTTAGGTACTCGACATGGAAGACTGGGTGGACACGACACATGTCAGGGGGAAGTTGGAGTTTGTAGTTGACGGGGGAGGTTTGTTCAATGATGGGGAAGGGACCGAGCCATTTGTTGGAGAGTTTCTTGGACAAGTCGTGTTCGGGTTCGAAGTGTTTGGCGGAGACCCAGACCTTGTCCCCTACTTTGAATGACACGTCGCGTCTATGTTTGTTAGTCTTGTTGGCTTGTTGTTCTTGGGTTCGTTCAATGACTTCGGAGGCTTCTCTCAGGAGTCTGTTCATTGTTGCTACCCAATCATTGAGAGAGGGGCCGGGGGTGGATGGGTTAAGCTGCGAAGGGAGCAAAAAGTCAGAGGGCAAGCTAGGGTGGTAGCCCAGGTCGAGGTAGAATGGGGACATGCCGGTGGAAGGGCAGGCGACGTTGTTGTAGGCAATCTCGGCGACTGTGAGCAACTGATCCCAATCGTGTTGGTGTGGATGACAATACTTCCGCAAGATTCTTTGGAGTGTATCATTCATCTTCGCTGTTTGTCCATCGGTCTGTGGGTGGAATGCATTGCTATACTTGAGCGTGGTTCCGTAGGCAGTGAAGAGGTGTTTCCAGAATTGTGAGAGGAAGCGAGGATCTCGGTCATTGATGATGTTCTCGGGGAGGCCGTGATGGCGAGCAACATGGTCGAAGAAGAGTGTGGCGACGTCTTTGGCAATGTGCGAGGTCGTGCAAGGGACGAAGTGGGCACATTTGGTCAAGCGGCAGAGAATGACGTAGATGCAATCATGCCCGCGGTCGGTCTTGGGGAGGCAGCACACGAAGTCCATGGAGATGGACTGCCACCGGTGAGTTGGGATGGGCAATGATTGGAGCTTGCCGGGTTTGCAGCGGTTCGAGGGGTTGACAACTTGACACGTGGGCCATGAGCGAATGTATGCCTTGATGTCGGCGAGTAGGGAAGGCCAGTAGAAGTAGCGGGAGATGGTGCTGAAGGTTTTCTGGAAATCGAGATGTCATGCGGTCTTGGCGTCGTGGTGCTCGACCAAGAGCTGAGTCCAGAGGCCTAGTGCGTCAGGGATGCAAAGTCGGCGAGTGCCTTTGGTATCGATGTAGAGGAGGTTGTTGTGGAGGAAGTAGTCGGGAACAGGGTCAAGATCGCGGAGCTTGTTGTAAATGGTGGCGAAGTCTGAGCAGGAGAGAGAGCCTTGGGTGTATCGATGATGAAGTGATGGAAGGAGTTGAATATGAGTCATGGCGGCGTAGACTTTCTTGGGGGGCTTGTGGTTGGGTCGTCGAGAGAGGGCATCCGCAACGCGGTTGCTTTTGTCGGAGGTATGGCAAATGATGAATGTGAACTGGGCGAGGAAGTCTAGCCAGCGGGCTTGGCGTGGAGTGATATCTTTCTTGGAGAGGATGGAGGAGACGATGGTGTTGTCAGTGCGGATGGTGAAGTATTGCCCGTGAGGTACGGGCGCCAGACTGTGAGAGTGAATCATGAGGAGTTCCTTCTCGTTGGAGGGGTAATTCATCTCCGCGGGAAGGAGCTTCTTGCTTGCGAAGGCGATGGGGTGTTCGCCAGGTGGAGCCTCGGGGTGAGTGGGCGAGTCCTTGATGGAGGGGGTCTCGGCGGTGTCGCAGGGGAAATGTTGGGACAGTACGGTTCCAATGGCGAAGTCAGAGGCGTAAGTGGTGACATAGAAATGGCGAGTGGGGTCGGCGATCTTGTGGACAGGGGCCGTGGTGATGGTTTGCACGAGTAAGTCGAAATCGTGTTGGCTGCGATCGTTCTAATGGAAGGGCTCGTCCTTGCGGGTGAGTTCGTGGAGAGGGTAAGAGATCTCGGAAAAGTTGCGAATGAACGGGCGGTAATAGTGGGCAAGGCTGAGGAAGGAACGGAGTTGGAGGAGGGTCTTGGATGGGGGGTACTCGACGAGGGTTGTGACCTTCGAGGGGTCCATACGGATGCCTTCAGCGGAGACAATGTGGCTGAGGTATTCGACGCTCGAAGCGGCAAACGTACATCTGCCGAGCTTGGCGTAGAATTTCTGCTCTCGGAGGATCCAAAGGACTTGGCGGAGGTGTTGAAGGTGGGACTCGAAGGTGGGGCTGAAGACAAGGATGTCATCAAGGTAGACGACGACACAAACTTCCAGGAGGTTGCGGAAGATGTGGTTCATGGTAAATTGGAAGGTAGCGGGGGCATTGGTGAGTCCGAATGGCATCACAAGGAACTCGCAGTGCCCGAACCGAGGGCGGAAAACGGCCTTGTAGGTGTCCTCCTCGCGGATACGGATATGGTGGAACCCATTGCGAAGGTCGATTTTGTAAAGTACTCGGCTCCACGAAGACGATCAAGGAGCTCGGAAATCCGAGGTAGGGGGTACTTGTTCTTGGTCATGATCCAGTTGAAGGCGCGGTAGTCTCTGCACATGCGGAGTTCCGAAGTTCCACCTTTCTTGACGAAAAGGCAGCTGGTTCCGAAGGGGGATGAACTTGGCTTAATGAACCCTTTTTCAAGGAGTTCACCAAGTTGCCGCTTCATTTCTTCGGCTTCGGGGACAGAGAGTTGGTATGGAGGGCGGCAAGGTGGAGAATGTCCGGGTTCCAAATCGATGGTATGGGATACACCACGATCCGGAGGTAGTCTGGCGGGTAAGGACTCAGGAAAGACATCCTTGAACTCGTTGAGGATTGAGGTGATGGCGGGGTTGGAGGGGGGGGGGTGATCGGGTTTGTCCGTCGGGAGTAAGTCCTCGGGACTTTCACGATCAAGGAGAAGATAAGTAGTAGGCGGAGTTGGGGTTTAGGCGAGCCATGTGGAGGAATTGGTGCGGGGTGACGGAGCCTTGGGAGGTCGGATATGGGAGATAGGGGATGTCAATGGTTGTGTCGGGGGGGTTGGTGAGGCGAAGGAAGTTGGGGTGGAGTGCGTATGGCATGTAGCGGTCCAGCCACGGGGTTCCTAAGACGATGTCGCACATCAAGCGCATGACATCAAACGAGACCTGACTGTGGAGGGTTCCGACGGTCATGGTGATATCGGGAACCATGCGGTCTACTACGACGACGGTGTCTTTGTCCCCCAGGCGAATCGTGATCGGGAAGTCATAACCGGTGGAGATAAGACCAGCTTTGCGGACACACGCGTCGGTGATGAATTTATCGGTGGCTCCAATGTCGAGGAGGGCCCGAAACTTAGTTGTAGACGCACCATGGGTGGCGGCGATGAATTTGAGGTGGAAACGAGATGAGTTGGCAGTGGAGATGATGGTGTTGAGGCGGCGTTGTTTGTTGCCTAAACGGACAAGCCGATCGTGTCGGGCTTGTTCCTCAACAACATCGGAGAAGGTGACAGTGGATGGGTTTGGAAGAAGGGTAGAGCAGCATGAGGCAGTGGGAGGCGTTTGCGACTCCTGGGAGTCGTCTGGTGGAGGGGGCGTCATCGGAGAGGGGGGAGGCAGACGAATTGTCGATGCTAGATGAGCCATTGGTGGGATGGAGGACGTCATCGATGGGTGGGCCAGGCCGACAGACGCGATGTCGATGCCGGGACAATGTCCTGGGGACTGTGTTCATGATGAGGAGGGACTCGTGCTTGCCGAGGGCGGTGATGCGGAGGTTACGGGTCGAGTGGAGGCGGACTGGCGGGTGAATTGTGCGGTGTTGGGGCAGTTGGTTTGTTGGTGCCCTAATTGGCGACAACGGAAGCAACCCCCGTTTGCTTGGAGGTAGGTGCGCTCCTCGGGGGTGAGTTTGTTGAGGCGGGAGGGTGGGGTAGATGAGGGTGGACGGGAGCTGCGACCTCTGCGCTCCATTCTCATGAATTGGAGGACATTGAGTTCCTCGAGAGTGAGGGATGAAGAGTCGAGTGAATCGGAAGATGGGTCGGGGTCAGGTGTGGTGAACTCGTCTGAGGAAGGGATGGAGTTGGTGTCTTCAGGGGTGATGTGATGGAAAAAGCGGGTGTGGGAGGGGGCGGGCTCGGGCTGGTGATGGGGGTGGAGGAGTCGATCGTGGTGRAGCATGCGAGAGAGGAGGTCAGCAAGGGGCATGTCGGGTTCGTGGGCGAGGGCGGTTGCAAGGTCTTTCTGGCATACTTGTTTGATGCGGGAGATGAACGCAAAGTCGGGAATGACGGTGGTGGGGAGGTGGTGGCGGAGGGAGTGGACATATTGGACGAAGCGGTCCGTGGGACCGGTCTGATGGAGGTGGCAGAATTGTTCAAGGTAGTCATCAATGGTTTTCTGGGGGCGGAAGGTGGCAGTGAGAAGGTTGGCCCATTGGAGGAAGGAGTGACGTGGTCCTCCGGAGGCTCGACGGTTGCTGACTTCAGCCATCCACCATCTGATGGCATTGCCGAGGAGGCGGGAGGTGGCAATGGGGAGCCAGTGGGCAAGGGGCATGTGGTGGAGGTGAAAAGAGTTCTGGAGCTGGGTTAGGAAGAGGAAAACGTCCTCGTGGGGGAGGCCGGAGAAGGACATGATTTCGCCGGATCGGAAGGAACCGGGGATTTCCCCGTCATGGGAAACGATCTGGGCGAGGGTGTTGAAGCTGAGGTTATCGGGGGTGGTGTCGTAGCAGGTGTATCGAGTTGGTCGTTGTCTTCAAGGAGGTAGTTGGGGGGGAGTTGTGGCATTGCGGGGTAGACCCCGGAGGTGACTTGGGGATAGGTGGGACGGATGGTGGGGATGGTGAATGTCGTCATGATGGGTTGGGGAATGGTATGAGAGTGCGGGGGGGGAAGAGGGGTGACATGGATAGGCGAGGAATGAGGCGGTGTGTTGGATGCGTCGGATGAGGGAGGAGGTGGGGGGAGCAAAACGGTGGTGGATGATAAGGGGTGGGGGGAAGGGTTGAGGAGGAAGGGTTGGTGGATATGGTGGTAGAGGTGGTAGGAGTGGAGGAGGTCGGCGGGGGGGTGTTGCTGGAGGCGGTTGTGGAGGAGGGAGTGGTCTACGCCGTGGAGGAGGGAGGTGCGGCCGTGGTGACGACCGTGATGGAGGATGCGGCCATGTCGGGGGAAGAGGGGGTGGAGGACGCGACCTGAACAGATGTGGAGGATGCAGCAGCAACGGTGGCGGCGCCAGCAGCGGCGGTGTCGGCGGCGACGCGTTGGGAGTTTTTGGTTTGGCGTGGTGGCATGTGGAGGGAAGGGGGTGGGCAATCCCTTATCTATTTATCAATAAATTCAAAAATAAAGATAATTGCCAAGATTTTTTGGAAAGTAGGGAACTTTATTTATTTCGAAATTAATTTGGGTAGAACAAAATTTTGAAGGATCCGTACGAGAGATTTACAAAATTCGTTGTTCAAAATATTGGTAGAAAATAAATTTGAATTTATTTTAAAATTTATTTTCGTGAAATTTCGGAATATCTTCAAATTCAAAATTTCGGAAAAGGGCTAATTATGAGTTGCAAAAGGATTCCAAGGAATTTGGAAAGAAATTAAGGGTATTCCAAAAAGCGATGAATTAATTATAAAGTATTCAAGAAATTTCGAAAAAGAAAAAGAAATTTTGAAGAAATTACTTAATTTTGAAATATTTCAAAGAAATTTTGAAAAGAAGTAATGAGTTCAAAAGTATTTTTAAATTCAAAATTTCAAGAAAGAACAAATTAGTTAATGCAAAAGGGAAGTTCAGAAGGAAAATTTCAAACGGAAAAGATTTTCAAAGAAATATGTGAAAAGGTTGATTTAATTCTAAAGTATTTTGAAAAGATTTTGTGGAACCAACGAATTGATTGGGACGTATTTTCGAAAATAGTGCAAAAGTAATTTGAAAAAGAAATAGTTTCTAAAAAAAAATAATTTCGATCGTGAAATTTTGAAAAAGGGAAGCTTTAAATTGTAAAGAATTTTAAGAGAGGAAGTAAAAATTTGAAAAATTAACTACTTATTTCCAACGTATTTCAAAAAGAAATTTTGAAAACGGACTAATCGTTTTTTTTAAAGGTAGATTGATACAAAAGTATTTTGAAAGGAGATAGATTAGCTAGATTTTAGGGCTTGGATAACTAACGGGGCGCAGCGGGGGCCGCGAATACGAGCGGAGGGAGGCAAGGGGGAATCGAGGGGGAAGCATGATTCGGTCCGGGGGGGCTGGGATCGGGTACGTGGC